GGGGAGGGGGGGAGGAGGGATTTCAAATTAGGACCGTCAGATCAATAATCTCTTTAAACGATCTGAGCCTTAAAAAGTTCAGGACAAACAATTTAGTTACTTTATTATATATATTTATTTGAAACTGGAATATTATAAGAAATTGTGTTAAAATATAATTTTTGTAATTTATGATTCCTATTGTATAGCTTAATTGTAAATATGATAAAATGTATTAGCCACATACCTATCACACTCTTTTGAAGTTCAAAGATAATAAATGATCGAACCAAATTGGTCTAGTCTAATTGACAATCTTACGATCTCTAAAACTATACCAACTAAGAAGTCAAGCGGTCAATTCTTGCCAAATGCAAGACTTAGTTTTGTATGTCGCCGCTTTTTGGATTCTATTATGCCCTTTGATACTTGTTGTGTGGATATGTTATATGTTACTATGTGTTCCCACCACCATAATTTTTCAAGAAGTTAGACTACATGCTAAATTGATTATTTATAGATTGATTGGTCACCCCATGAATATTGGAGGCTGATTGAGACAATACGTTTATGCATGGCATTTTTAGTTCTTAAAGTATGAGCTTTTTATCAGTTAAGTTCTCAATGTATCAATTTTTTCAATTTAGTCTCTAAATTATTCAATTCGTGTCATTTTTGTTCTCACATAAAAGTGTTGTTATGTTTTATAAAATAACACGTGTCCAACATATGATTATTTTGTCAAAAAATTAATAGTCCATCTATATGTGGACCAAAATGACACGAATTAATACTTTAACGATTAAATTGATAAGATTGATACATTGATGACTAAACTGATAAAAAATACATACTTAACGATCAAAAGTACTATTAACTCAAAAGTAAATAATAGAAATTATTCTCAAATATGTTTAACTGATGAACTTAATTCAAAATGAAAGCTGATTGTTTAAGGGATAAATTTTACAACAAAATGAAAGATTATTTTGCTATAAACTAGATGATTGTGTGCATTAAAAGAAAATAACTGAGACATTTAACTTAAAATTCAATTATATACTGTTTTTAGACTTGAAACAACGTGTGTTCCACTTTAATATATGTTCGAGAAGACATGTTTTAAGAAAATAATACTTTCTGTCCTTTCGTTTTGCTTTTATTGAAGCTAGTCAAAAGCTGATTTTACTGTTACATATAATAATTTAAATTTAAATCTTTGTATGCTTTTTATCATGATTAAACATAACTTTATTGGTATACACTTGTAATTTTTTAGTCAAGCTTTGTTACCCCAAAAAAGAAAATTAATAACAGTACTATTTAATAAAAGTCAGATAATATTTTTTTTTAATAGTCAAGTTATGCTTTAACCCTATTCAATTGTAACTTTACCTTTAAAAATTATAATGTTAATGATCAAGCATAATATTTTGTGATCAATTGTACTTTTTCCAATTATAACTCACCCAAAAAAATTATGTAGTCTTCTTCCTTTAATAATGTTGTTAATGGCTTTCATGTCATAATGTTGTAGTCATTGGATCTAAATCCCACCAGGTTTTTTTAATGTATTTATTTTCTTAATAAATCATCTACTATTATTGAGTGAAATATTTATTTATATACAATAAATATCAAGTGAATTTAGAGTGGAGAATCCACTAACTAAAAAAATGGAAGATAATGTATTGTAGGGTATCTAACTTTGACAATCATTTAAGGTTGTCCAACTTTCATCCTCTGATTGTCGGGTTAGTAAAACCCAATAAAAAATTTCCTGTACTTTGACAAAACATTTTTAATATTCTATTTGGGATATGGTTTGGAAATCCCAACTCAGTTTAACTTCGAGTAATATTTGAGTTGGGATCTCGAATTCTTGGGACTAATGAATTCAGTTCATCTTGAGCTAAACATTTACTCTAACCCAAGTTGTATGATTGAAGAATTAAATTTGAATTCGACCCTAAATACATATTCTGCTGTAGGTTAGTATATATCAGGCTTGTGTCCATCACCTCATAGGACATTATCTTCTCCTCGCAGGTAGTTGTACAGTTGGGATGATTGCACCCAACACTTCAAAAGAAAATGTCTTGATAAAAAACAAGGGGGATGCAATAGCAACTTGGCAATGCATCTAGTCCTCACAACTAGTATGTGTTGGTTTTTTTTTATGGAGTCTAGTTTGTATATGTGATCCGGATGATGACCCGACCCGAAATAATGTTGTGTGGTTTTTAATGGAAAATTTTCTGAGGCTTAGTCCATGGAGCGAAGGCTTGGGCCGTTCGGGGGCAACGCCCCCGAGGAAATTTTTTTTTGGCCCCGTTATACAGCCCAGTGCGTAGGACATATAAACCCTGTTGTTTTGGTGATTAGGGTTTAATTGTGGATGTACAGCCGCTCTCTGTATTCAACTCTCTCAATAGTGAAATCCCTGCAGCTTCGTGGACGTAGGCAAATTGCCGAACCACGTAAAATCTGTGTCTTGTTCTTTCTTGTTTCTTATTGCTTTATATTCTTGATTTGTTCTTCGATTGTGTGTGTTTGTTAGTGGATTTAAATCGTGAGAAATCCCAACAGTATGCTCATGCAAGGACCCTTCTTAGACTAGTGCTGACCGGCAGGTCCTTGTCCAAGAGGTTGCCGAGTGGCAATGGCTCTGAGTCTCCCAAGTAGGTGCCGACCGACAGTAGCACCTGATCTTGCTGGTGCTGACCGGCAGTAACAATTGGTCCCTGTTGTGCCGACCGGTAGCAAGTTTCAGGTCCCTACAATACTCAAAGCAACACCTACACAAATAGAAACATAAGTCACAAAGAAGGTAGATAATTTAGGTGTTCTTTATGAAAATCACAGTTTGTGCCAAACACAATCTCTATTTATAGTGAATAGTGTCTTGTAGATAATTCCTTGATGTATATTTAAACTTCCGTTGAATGATATTACACGTATAATTCTCATGTGCATCAATTGTCCACGTGGTTATTTCACATGAGAATCTCATATAACTTCCTTCTTAGCTTCTCTGGTGGCCTTGTCTTTAATTCACCCCCTCTTACTTCTTATTGCATCGACGAGGGCTTGATTGATCCAAGTTTGGATCAGGCTATCGCAAATGCAAATGTAGAAGGGAAGAAAAGGACGAACAATATCATTGAGTAAGTGTATGCACCATGAAGAGTTTACTTGATTGTCGCAATGCCGAATTTTGGATCATGTCCTTTCAAATTGATTCAACCCATGTTGGCATCCTTCTTGCTTTAATTAAATTTGCAGATTTCATGATTTTGGAAAGAGAAAATTAAGGCGTGAAATACATATGAATTTTGTTTTTCCAATTTGTAAAACTGGTTTACTCTTGTAGCACATGC